TATAGGGGATTTTACCTTTTGCAAATATGTATTCTGAGAAATATATTTCCACTAAGCCTGAGCTGTCCGGTTTAGCTTCATAAAGCAGGTGTAACCGATTCCCTCTCTATCTTTAGAGTGGGAATCACACCATCCAGTCTGATCTCCTTTTTTCTTTCTTTCCTTCTTGTAATTTTCCCCATGTCGGCTCTCAAATGTGTTTTTAAACTGTTGCTGCAGATTGTATTGTTCTAAAAGCCTGAGAGGAGCAAAAATATATACTCCGGCATTAGACCAAATGGCATTTGAAGGAAATGGCTCATAAGAACAAAGCACAAGAGATTTGGTGCAATTGAAATGTGCTTCTAATGAGCAGAGAGGACTGGAAATGGCCAGTGATGTCGAAGCACTTCTGTCCTGCTCTAAATGGACTTTAAAAAAAAGGTGACACTTTATTCTGGAAGACTGTGAGAAAATGTAAGCTCATTTCTTCAACTACCAGCCAAAGTTATTTTGTTAAAGTCAGTACATTTTTCATTTTTCATTACCAACTTATATCTATTAAAAGAATGATATATAGAAAGAAAGCAATATATCAAGTTTGAGATCAGTAACAATTTTGCACAACAAGATTACATTCATGTTACAAAAACAAAAACAAAAAAAAAAACATTGGGCTCTATTTTAACAAACTAGGCTCATAAGTCTAAAGCACATGACGCAAAGGCATTAAAGGCATGTCTGAATCCACTTTTGCAATTTTAGGGACAGAAAAATATGTTCTGCGTCCCTGTGCATGGTCTAACAGGGTTGTGCTTATTCTCTTAATGAGTTCTGGGTGTGTTTTGTGTATGATAGGGCCCATTAACTTAAAGAATCTCCTTTAAGATGTTTTGGTACTCCCATAAGTAATAATAATAATAATAATAATAATAATAATAATAATAATAATAATAATAATAATAAAATCAATAATGATAACAATAATATTAATAATAATAATAAACAACAACAATAATAAAAAATAATAATAATAATAACAATAATAAAAATAATAATAAAATCAATAATAATAATAATAATAATAATAATAATACGACTAATAATAATACTACTACTACTACTACTACTACTACTACTAATAATAATAATAATAATAATAATCATAAAAGTTGGAAACATAATACACATTTATTAATTACTACAAATATCCATAAATATGCTATTTACATCATATTTTTTACCTTTTAAAATTTCATAAATTCTATAAATATATTTTATAGTTCTTCAGTTGTTTCAAAAATAACTAAAATACCTTTTAAAAAGTCTAAAAAGATCTAAAATGCCTCTTGCGAAAGACATTTACTAAACTTGCAAAATTTCAAATATGTGCTGTTTAAAACATTAAAACATCAACAACCTTACATTTTTGTAGATGTAAATTGTCTGGATTTTTTGCTATAATCCAGTGACATTTACACACATATTTAGGTGCAACTTAATGTTCAAATAGTTTTTGCAGTCATGCTTATGGTTACGGTGATAAGTATGGATTTATATGCGCCTCACTTTCACACCATTTTAATCTTAACTCGGTTTAAAATTATTAAAGCTGCCATAGACTTTTCCTGTCCTGTTTTTCTCCAGTTTTTTAAAGAGATAGTTCACCCAAAAATAAAACTTTTGTCATCATTTACTCCTCCTTTACTTGTTGCAAACCTTTGAGCTTCTTTCTTCTGCTAAACACAAATTATTTTATAAATAAAATACAAAAATATTCAATTTAATTTAAATGAAATCTGGAAACCTGAACCATTGTTTTTTACTGCTATTGAAGTCAAAGGTTACAGGTTTTCAGCTTTCTTCAAATGATCTTTTGTGTTCAACAGAAGGAACAAACTTTATGACCACGTCAGGGTGACTAAACAGTAAGTAAACGTTCATATTTTGAGTGAACTATCCCCTGAAGTTCAGTATGTTGGCCTGTTGCTGCAGGAGTGTGAAGCGTCTGGAGTTTGGGGTCTAAAAGTGACTCTTCTCTCAGGAGACGGCGCTCTGATGTGGATGAGGACAAAGACAGGAGGATGAAAGAGTGTTTTATCTCCTCTGATTAGGCATGCGGTCATGCGGCAGACGCTCAGAGTCCCGCGAGAGAGCCGGCGAGTGCTGCTTCATGCTCTCAATGACCCTGACCTGTCCTTCAGGCCCAAAAACACTGAAACACACGGTCACCACCCAGGAGAGCTCAAACACCCGCTCATATTGACCACATATTGAGTGCGCTCGGTTTTGCGATTGTTTTAGAGCTTCTGATTCAGCCACCTATTGGAGAAAGGACTAGAAGTCATAAATGGCAGAGGCGGCATAAGAGGCGGCACGGTGGCCTTAATAATTTGTTACAATGTACTTATTGTGTAGATACATGTTTTTACATTGTACTTACGCTTGATTAAATACCTGTATGTGATTACGTCTGTAATTAATTTCTGTAATTACATTTGTTATTATACTGTTGACCATCCCTTATACCAGGGGTCACCAATCCTGGTCCTGGAGGGCCAGTGTCCCTGGAGGGTTTAGCTCCAACTTGCCTTAACACACCTGCCTGGATGTTTCAAGTATACCTAGTAAGACCTTGATTAGCTTGATCAGGTGTGTTTGATTAGGGTTGGAGCTAAAATCTGCAGGTCACCGGCCCTCCAGGAACAAGTTTGGTGACCACTGCCTTATACCTTAACCAGAGGTCGCGTTAACCAAATATTTTCCATCATTGACAGATTTTTTTCAGCAGTGACGGAAAAATCTGGAGGTGATCCGTCATTTTGATGGATTATGCTGAGGGGGATCTATTGTAATTTGTAGCTGTAATTCCCACTCCTGTCCAGCTGATGGCGACTGCCCTTGTTTTGTCTCCTCTTTGTCACCGCTGCGCTACGTACAGTTGGAAAAATCTCACCGCAGTTAAGTGTGAGAGGTTTTTTTAATTCGCCAAATAGTTGTGATATTAATAATAAAGGTGAAAAAAAGAGGACGTGATGCAGTGGACGATGAAGACAAAAATCTCAGTCGCTGACAGCTGTTGTTACGGGCCAACCAAGCGGTAACAAGGAGGTCGGGTGCTTTGGAGTGCGTTGTGAGCACCATGCACTACCGAACACAGAGGGGTGAAGCCGCGCCCCTGGTGCTGAAGGAGCGTGTGCTGCAGTATTTTTCCCGGTGAAACGAGTGCTTGCAAGACCGCGAAATCCCACATTCAGAAAATCCAGCAAACTTCTGATCACTTCCTTAGGAGAAATGTTTTTTAACTACAAAACGTGGTCTGAAGTGGTGCTACCCAGATAGCAAGTCGTAATCGGCCCGAGCTCGGCTGCCCTTCGGCGCCTCCGGCTCCGGCTCGGCATCGGCGAGTGTTATCCAGGCCGAGTATGGCCCGCACATGCCTTTGTGATGCGGCTGTAAACCACTGTCCCGATTCCTGTTAACCATATCTGGCCCGAGTCTGTCTGCAGAGTCCGAGCCGCTTCTGGCAAGGACTCTCCAGTGTGGCAGCAGAACGCGGCTTCAGCCTCCAGAACAAATTTAAAACTGTCAGGAGAAGTCGACTTTCCGAGGCAAAGACACAGAATATAATGACAACCGCCTCGGCATCAGTCTCTCTTGATGCGTTTGATTACGCACAGGCAAGCACCCAGTTCAGGTCGACGCAGGAGG